GAATGAGTCCAGTTTGGTAAAGTTAACCTTTGGTCGCCCATGAAGAAGAGAAAACTCCTAACATGGAAAACCAGTGCGAAGGTCGTGAAGGTGACTGCAGCAGACAAGATTGTTGAGCTTCAAGAGGATAGTTCCCTTTTCTCACGTATGATGATGGTGGGCAAGAGCAGGCGAGAAGTCGATATCAAGGAGACTGTAGGCCAATACGAATTTTCGATAGTTCCGCGATCTTTATTGGCTGCTGATGGCACAATGCTTCACTGTGCATCCAAGAGTAATCTAATGAGCATTCTAGAGAAGCTGAACGACAGCAGAAACAACAGGAGAGTAGCTGGTCCAAACGAAGATCAAATGAAAGTAGCTATTGTAGATGGAATGGCAGAAGTCCAGTCACTTGACAAGCCGGAGGGGATCAGAAATTGCGCACAGTTAGCTGAACACTTCAGCAACCGTGTTATGCAGATGCACACTAGAAGCAATGAAGTGCGATTAATTTTTAACAGGTATGATTTACCTTTTTTCACTCAAAGCGGCCACCAGGGTTAGATGACAAGGAAGCAAAGCTCCTGTGTATTACCACATCACCGACACAACACACATTGCCAAAGTTCCAGTGAAACGACTCCTGTCACACAAAAAGACCAAAATGGAACTCGCCATCTGTCTGGGCAAAAAAATAAAAGAATATGCTCATCGTAGTGGAAAGCAACTGGTGGTGGCATGGGGAAGTGTTTGTAAAGCAACACACAAGGACGTAGGGCATTTACAGAGTAACCAAGAGGAAGCTGTCACAAAGATGATCTTACATGCCCTTGATACTATCGCTAATGGCGCAACTCAACTACAGATTTACTCTCCGGACACAGATGTCTTGGTCCTTGCTCTTAGACGTTATCCGGAATTGTGTGAGAACACGCTGTTTGTCACGGGAAGAGGGCAACAAAATAACACCATCTTATTATTGAGCTGAAACCAATTGTTGAAACTCTTGACCCAGAGAAGATAGCAGCACTTCCAGCATCCCACGCCCTAAGCGGAACTGACAACACAGGAAGTTTTTCAGGAAAGGGAAAGCTTCTCTGCTGGAAGATATTTGCAGAAGGGGACTCATCAATTTTCACTGCCCTTGCAGAACTTGCACAAACTGCTCATCCAAATGAAGAAATTGTCGCAGCCATTGAGAAGTTTGTCTGTCTACCATATCAACCAAGAACAAAACTTATGACTGTTAAAGAGCTACGATGGAGCCTTTTCAAGAAAAAACAGGCAGAATCAGACAAGTTGCCACCAACACAGGCCGCGTTGCAGCAGGTCGTGATCCTGAGAGCCTATTACCAGTTGATGGTCTGGAACAGTGACAGAATAACAAACCAAGAGCTACCATCACCGCAGCACTATGGAGAGTAGATGGACCAAGAATAATGGGTACCTGTCATGACAAACCTGCCACCAGCCCCTGGAGCGATACTTCAACTGGTACAGTGTGGGTGCCCCAAAGAAAGGTGTTCCACTAACCGTTGCCAGTGCCGCAAGGCTGGTATAAACTGCACAGACCTTTGCAACTGCTCCGACAATAGCGAGACCTGTGAAAATGATGTTGAGGAGGACGATGTGATCTACTCAGATGAAGAGGACAGTTCAGATAGTGAAATGTATATAAATGAGTGAGCCACATGAACAATCACTAACAGTTTTTATAACTGACAACCATGCTAAGATATTTTTTTTTTGGGGGTTAAAGTAGACGCGCACGAAGCGCGCGAGTCTCTCCCCAGTCTTGCTCTCTGTTTTCACCCTCGTTCCAGACCTTTTGTTTGACTGCTCGCGCGTACTTGAATACGCAAAAATACGGACTGTTTTGCAGTCTACCAGTTGGTAATATCGCTGATGCATGACTGAACACGAGACAGTGAGTGCATCGGTTCTCCAGCAGCCTTTGGGTTAAACGAAAGGTATATCTGCGTGTCGTCAGTATAGAAGTAAACGTTTAAGCCATGTTGTCTTATTATGTCTGCAAGGGGTGCGGTGTACATAGAGCCAAAGATAGGAGCTAGCACCGAACCTTGGGAGACACCGCAGAGAAGGTTTCGAATGGTGGAGTGCTCATTTGCCACTTTGACAAATTGGGTGCGGTCCGTCAAGTAGGACGTTAACCAAGATAAGGCCTTTCCGGTGATTCCGAAACGATGTTCAAGTCTACCAAGTAGAATGTCATAATCTACCGTGTCGAAAGCAGCGGAAAGATCCAGTAACACGAGCATGACGCAACTATTGTCACTATTGCCGTCGATTGCGAGTGAGAGCTGTTTCAGTGCTATGTCCCATTCGATAAGCTGATTGAAACATCTCATGTAGATTGTTATTGACAAGATGTTGATTAAGGGGTAGAGCTACCAGATAGAAAACAGAGCGAAGTTGTCCAAGTCTTTTAATCGATCAAATGGGCTACATCGTAGACCCTTGTTCAGCGGAGATTAGCACTGCAGCTTGTTGTAAAAAGATTGGGGAACAATAAGCCGTGATCCTTTACAGGCATAAATTTTGAGAGACGTTTGATCTAAAACATTGTAGAAATTCCGAGGACTGTTACGGGGATCTAACGTAACTTACTAATAGTCTTCCATATTTTGACTAAAATCGTCGTATGTCTCTCTTCAGATACCTAAAGACTCCACTTCTACTGAAATACGATCAGATAAAAATTAGTTTCTGAAGTTGAAAGGAAAGCAAAAAAACTACAAAACGAGAGAAGAAGAGAAACAAAATAACAACAGCTGCCGCCTGGTGCTTTTTTTTTGTTGCTACCTAGCGGGATACTGCCGAGCCGAGCCAGCGGTGCACCAATACTGGCCCGACCAACACTTCGACGAGAATAGCGAGTTATATATATTGCTCTCAGTTAAGTTCCTTTCACTTGTGGGAGAGGATAAAGAGGCAAGGACTCAGTCGGCTGAAACGTGGAAGGTTTTCAAAAGGGAACAAAAACTTGATCGAACCAAAGTACTTTAAGATCCAGAAAGATCTCCCATTGGGACCAAATTTCAAATCTTGAGTTATCATTATGTAATAAAAAAATTAAAGATGAACACCGACAAAAGCCGTGGATGTTATATATCGCTGTCGCTGTTATCAGCTGTGTTTTCGCAACACTGATCATCGTTAAGTTCTCCGGCGGGTGTTACTCAAAGACAGAAAGATGTTGATGTCTGTTGAAATCTTAGGTTTTTACTTTAAAAGGTGACCAAGCAATTCATTCATATTGACAACGAACTTACGAAAGCGCATGCACATTACGGCTGCTTGCTACCAACCCCTCTTTCGCCTGATGAGGATTGACTTAGGCTCGATTACCTGCTCAAAGACCGTACCCGGGAGACGGCGGAAATCGAGCCCAGGAGTGACTGTGTTCTTAGAATCGTCTTGTGATCGGAAGGTTATGACTTTCATACCAGCACGAAAGCCATACTGTTAACCTTAGGGCCGGGTCGCTTTTAGGCCAAGTTCAAACGTCGAACTTTACATTCGCCACTTTAGAAACGATAAGGCGACTGGTGCCGACATGTATCACGTTATTATTTCTGTCTTTCTGGGATCGTTACTGGGGACGCGCCGGTCGGCTATTGGCTAATTTTTCCCTGTCCCAGAAGTCCTTGCGAAAGATAACTCGACCCAGCTTTCTTCTCGAACCAAATGCTAATGAGCTAAATCTATCAGTGTTCTCTCACTAGCATTTGGCTCGGCATGTGTGAAGTTTTCCTTCTGACCCGGGCTTTAGAGAGGAAGAACAATTCTTTCCTGTTCAATGTACTTCCTTTCTTTTCTTTTTATTAAATTACGAAATTAGAGAAAACTCGACAATCTTCCTAGTATGATTTCATTACTTTCAGCTGATATAAGGCTCATACGTGTTCAAATTGGCTTTTACACACATACAATACCAGGCCTGCAATACTTGGGTCTAGTCTATATATTCGAGGAATGTAATATAAATAGTTCTAACTGTTGATATTAATGTTACATAATTGTTTAAAATATGTCTGAATTAAAGCTAAGTTGACATTTCAGGGTGATAATGATTTAAAGACGTAAACAAACTGAGTATTTACAGTATTTAATACAGCATCATTGCATTTAAATCTTTCAATGTACGGCAGTTCTTATAAATACAAAACTTGTTCATCATTCGCTTCGACTGAAAGAAATTCAGTTGATTGAGCTCTGTAGTAGAATCAGGACAGTCTCCTATTTTTAAGATTAACGAGAGCGACAGGCCGTGACTTTTATTTCATACGAGGAAGAAGTCTAAAGAACGAGCAAAATGTCGTCATTATAGTACAACTAAATACCGGAATCCTTCGCGGGATTTTTGCTCTACATTAAGGCTTTTGTCACTGAAATATCACAGAAATTTACTAAATTAAAATAAATAATTTTAATGACAAAAAAAAAAAACAGTAAAAAAGAAGTAAACTCTGGTAGTTGTGATTGGCTGGATTCACTGCTGGGATAATGGTGGCATTGGGCTGTTGGGATTTTTAAAATAAATTTAACTGTTCATAGTCCCCTATTTTTCTGTAATATCGTAGAAAACGAGCGCTCACCGTCACTGGCCGCCACTTTGTAATTGGTTTTAAAGGTACCGAGCGGGCGGGCGTTGGGGCTTACCATGAAAATGGTGGGGAAAGGTTCCCTGTATCTTTCTCCCTCCTTCCAAACTGTCCCCCGCCTCTTAAGTAGATTAGATAGTCACCTTCAAGCTAGACACAGTCAAGATGGCCACCAGTAATGGTAAGCGCTCGTTCTCGAAGATCGCATGGAAAAACAGGGGACTGTGAACAGTCTAAAACAACAATGAAAAATTCGAAAGGGCTGATGCTCCGGATAGTTACGCGTATCCACCGAAAATGACCCCATCGTAAAAATAGCGTGATGCGCAAATGACTGTGAAAACACTACTCAACAGAGCTGTTGGGTTGCTCAGAGCTTCAAACAAGAGTTTTCTACTCATTGTTATTCCCCAAAACCATGTGCGTGTATCTGTTTGGGGGGTCGGCATCCATCCAAGATCGAATCTGCGCTAGTTTAAGGGGCGTGATCTTCGTGCCCACGTTCATGCGACGCATTCTTCCGCGAAAACGGATACGATTGCCCACGCCATTAAAAACCCCCATGATGAAACGTTCATAGCCCTGACTTCTTTTTTTGTAAATTTTTCCGTAGATGCCCGCGCCGGAACTTCCATGAGAAGAGTCGCATCTGTTAAGAATAGCGTGTTGATGGCAATGGGCTTTGCAGTAAGAGTACCACAGAGTGTTGTCCTGTTTGTCAGCTGGAAAAGACGCGAACTGGATACGCATTGAAACTGATAGGTCTTCGGGTATTTCGTAGATTTCCAAAAAGCTTGCGGATTCAGGAACGGAGCGATGCAACTTCAGGACGGAATAATCGTAACGAAAATCATTGGACAGTGTCCAACCCCGTGGAACTCTTATGTTATCGACACGAATCCACCTGACTTTTCCTTGACGACGCAAGACGCCCACCTTTAGATGAGGGACGTCCATGATGTATTGTAGGCCATCGTGAACACAGTGAGCGGCTGTGAGAACATGTTCAGTGGAAATAAGAGTACCTGTACAACCTGTATTGATCTTCACCACTGCGGAATAGGGAGATTGTTTTAAATCTTCCGCGGAGACTTCAATTCGATTATCTTTGCCAAATATAGCCCTTCTTTTGCGAGAACGTCTGGTATCCGGATCAGGATGAATAAACTTCAAGTCGTCCGAAGTCCAGTCCGAGTCTTGGGCATTTTTTTCGAGTTCGAATTGTGGAAGTCTGTCCCACACATCATGACGAACATAGGACAAATTTTTCCCTCTTTCCTCCAAGTCAACGAGCGTTAATGTTAGGCTGCCGTTATGCCAAAATGTCTCGTAGTTAAGCCGCGATATGTTCTCTTTCTGAGCGTCTTGGGACAAATCGTCTAGGTCCACCAAACGGGTAGAATTTGCCGGGAAGTCGCTAGTGCGATTCACTTTGCCCAGTGGGGTGGTTGAAACGTCTTTGATACGGAAGTTAAGAGGGGGAAAATCTTCATCAGTCTCTTCCTTTGTGAGACTCTTTGACCCATTCAAGCTACTATCCGAAAGGGACTTAGTATGTTTCACATGTTTTCCTCTTGATGAATTCACAGGGCCAGGAACGCTTAAGCACAAGATACTAACAACGACGATAAAAAATCTGGCAAAAATCATCATGAAGAAACTTGTCGATACCAAAACAGATCTGACTGAGCAGAATTGCTAAGTTTTTGATAAGATGCTTCAGCTTCTAATGTTCGTGAAAATCTACGAATGAAAAAGACACAAAATAATTAGCATGAGTCAGCTAGTAAAACCACTGACAACCACAAACTACGTAGCAATTGCTTTAAATTATTAGACCAACCAGGAATAGCAGCAGCTCATCTGTTTTCTATCTCGGCTTGTCATTTATTCTAAGCTCATTAACATAGGCTTTAAAAAATCACCAAGCATTACCCACAGAAAGGTTGCTTTCAAGTACCAGTCGGTTACATTTTTACTTTTCCATTTTTCTCAATTTGGTTTTGCATCTGGGTTAATTCGTTTACTTTCGCTTAGCAAATCCTTAATAGTTATCCTTGAGTTGTGATCGAAGGCGGATAGCGCAAAATAAGACTTAGTAAATGGTTCAAGTTAATAAAAATAACGTATTACCCTCAAAGATATGAAAAATGTTTTGTTATTGGATAAATCAGTTTGGTACAAGAGGAGTGAGAAGGAGTTTAATTCGTAACGTTTTTCATGAGTTTTATTAGAAGTGTTGATGGAGGGGGCATATACAAGTTTGTTTATTGTTTTCGTTTTTCACCGTGTTTGCCTACTCAAGAAGTTCACTTCCTATTTCTTAGTTTTTGCGATGTGTTTCTAATCACGCGTCGAATTTTTACTACACATTTCCACGCCGCGTTCTTCAAATCTTGCAAATAATTCTAAGTTTAATAAACAAGTGAGTATTATTGTAAAACAAAACATTATTGGCTTAATTATATTGCCGACAAAAACAAAAATACCTAATTGCATTAACTGTAAAAATAACATTTTTTCCTTCCAAATTAAATGTCTAATTTTAGGGCATCCAAAATTTGCCCAAAAAGAGTAACGAAAAAGAGCAAAGGCATTCGACTGAAAATGTTAAAGTCGCCCAAACTTCATCGTTTAAAAACTAAAGACGCTGTTATGATCAAGTCAGGGCTGTTGAACCAACAATGTCGCTACAACGTGTTATTCACATTGTCAACGTTTTAGAATTCTCGAATTTTCTACACAAAGGAACCGGTTTAAGGTCTAATCTTAAGACTGTAAAAATCTGCATAACTGTACTGTTGCGTTTTGTATTAAAACGCGTGGTATGCAAAAAAATGACACGTACGAACGCTCAGTGAAGAAGAAAAGGCCTCGTGTTCCCCCTGTAGGGTTTTGTTATAATTTTTAGGCGTTACTTGGAAATATCGTAAACGTTGTATAACTTTATAAACAACAAAAATATCTGAAACAAGAGCCGGAACGTTTTTCTTTATTGCGACCTGAAAATTTTTATGTAAAAGAAACAAGTTCTAAACTTCTTCTGCGGCTTTAACAGTAAACAGTTCCACAAGGGTGCCGTTCGTTTTTGCTTTTCAACTGAACTGCCACACTTTTTCTACCCGTTCTTGATTCTATTACCTCTTCAAGTTCGAAAATATGGATTTAAAACACTATTTCTTTAAGCTTAAGTAAAAGTTTGTTTACGTTTATTTTTGCTTTCCCAGTTTATTTGGTAAAAAGTCTGAATGATAAAGCTCTCGATCGCTGTTAACCTGAGTTCGTTTGAGTTACGTAATATAGAGGTGTCCATCTTCACGGATACATGAATTACTGGCAGGAATCGATGCAGTATATAGAGCACTGCTAAATGTTTCCTGGTAGTACGAACTCTCTCTTATAACCTGCACAATATATCCATAGCGAAGAGCAAATACCCAATAACTATGTCGGTGTTTTTCTTAAAGCCTTACTCACACCGTTGGTCAGTAAAGTGTCAGTATATTGGGCTATTTTGAGTTAATTCTGTTGACGGTTTTTTCAGCGACGCTGAGGCAATGTTAAGCAAGTGAATGATGAGCAAGCACCGACTTTAAAGATTCACTACGATACGTTATTATGGACGTTATATTATTTGATTTAAAACAAACAAAAAGAGTACTCTACACTGCACGGCTTCCAGAAGTATACCAGTTTATTATCAACAAGAAAAACTGATACTAGACATAAGCCATAGTTTTTTACCACAATAGCTACGATAGGCGAGTTTAAGAAAAGTACTTCGAAAATGAAAAGCTTTTTCTGATAGTAGCTTAGAGTACCACCAGCAAAAATAAATCAACTTAAGAGAAATTGGAGAGTAATTTCAAAATTTAATAAAACTTAGCTGAGCCCTTCGATCAGTTACAAATTTCATTACAAAGAAACCAGAGATTCGGGCAAAGCAATTTTCATTTCGATAATCGGCTCAACGCAAACGACGCGAAAATCCGCCAAAATCAAGCGATGATGAAAGTTTTCACTTTTCAAAGTACAACTTCTCCTATTCTGGCTTTGGCAAGCGTGTTTATGGCACAGCGTCCGGAGCTCTCTTTTCGGCGTGGATACTTCTTCAAGGAAGTGCAAATTGTTGAACAATCTTTAAACATCATTAACAAACTTGGACGCGCGTATGTTACAAAACGAAACGTGCATTACACGTGGAATGGAGCGCTAGGCTGAGCGTGCGTGTTTTAGTTTGGGGGCTGTTTCAACTTTTACGACTTATGGCATACACGTACCTCGGTTTGAACTGGCCAAATACTTAGCTCAGAACAAACAGACTCTTACTCCCCTCTGCCTGGCGCGACGTGAAGCTAACGACGAAATTAAACGAACCGAAACTCGTCCACAAATTACTTGTACTTCAGCTTAATAACAACAGCAGCAGGGATCACTCTAGAAATTTATATGATTTCTTGGGCAGGTCATTCAATATACAATAGAAGCACTCTAGCATTATACAAAACAATGTGACGGTAGCGTGCTTCTATTAGCTTGCTATTTCCGGTTTTTTCTGCAAGAGAAAGCGAGAATTTACTTCTTATTCCAAAGAACACGATGCGGATATTGATTTAATTGGCTTGTTCAATGTCTTTCGGCCGGGCATTTAAATTAAGGAAGTCGTTTTACCATTCCGTCACGTCCAAATGACTCTCTGTAAAGTTTGCCAACATTTACCGGTTTATCGCGAAACAAAATACAACCAACAAAAGTTTACTTTATTCGGTTTATCTAGTTTTGGAAAATGAGGAGTTAACAACTACTATCATCACTGATGCGGAAACGTTGGTGTGACGCAAATACTTTGACGCAAACTTAGCACAAAATTAATAACATAAAACAAAACAATTCCTTGCATCGACAACATAATAAAAAGAATATGTAATATACTTCTGTTTAATTACAAACATTCTTGTTTTCTAAACAATGTGACATTTGTTTGAAAGTTTCTTATTTCCTCTTTCTTGACACTCACGATTCGCTTACCATTTGCTCATACAGTCCAGTTTCAAGTGGCGGTTTTTTCTTAGTTCTCAAAAGTCTCTATACATTCTTAAAGACGTAAATCTATTGATTTTTCTCGTTTCGCATTTTATTATTAATCCCGTCAGGATAAAAGATAATTAAAAAGTGCGTCTCAACAACAATCATCTAATACGATTTGCATACTTGTAATCTCTTGTCCAAATATTACGATTAGTAACCTCATTGGGCCTCATTCACATTAAGTGAAAGCGACAAATACTTGATCAATTTTTGCCCCGTGTAAGCAACAGCCCCAGGGCTTTACAAAAGTGGCAAATTGAAATATATGGAAAGATAAATAGAACAGGAAAACTTGTGACCTGGAACACGCGGGAAGTAAAGCAAGGCATTACGATATGATTTGTTTGTTTATGGTGGGTCGCATGCTATGGAATGTTTCATCTATAATAATAAGACGGTTTAATCTGTAAGGTTTCCAGCTTATCCCAGTGCTCCAATCTGTATGATAGCCGTGCTCGGATTTCATAATAGTTCATCGTCTCAGAAACAATACAAATTTTTAAAACACGCCGAATGCAAAAGAGCGGCACTGTTTGATGAATCCCGCTGTACTTGTGAAAAAAAACATTTTCGGAAGTTACTCTTTCATTGTTCATTCCTTCTATACTGTTGTACACTCTTATTAAACAATATAGCAAACAATTCTCATACCAGTTTCGATGGTCGACTACTCGCGTGTTAACATACGAGTTCCTAGTACGGCCTGTCTCTTTTTCATCCAAAGGTACCGCAGTTGCGTGAAAAGAAAACTGTACTAAAAAACGAGGCATTGTCACGGGTGTCCTAAGCTATTATGCTAATCGAACACAAGCGCCGTAGCATTTCCTGTGTTCAAGAGACCATGGCCGAATTCACACTGTTATATTGCTTCCTTGGCCTTTCGTCGCAGGCTAAAACTTACGGATCTCTAAGCTAAAGCCTTAAATAGAAAATCAATGGATAATTTTAAAAGGAAGCAACGAATGTATTCTCGGATCATTTCAATGGCTCAGTCAAACGAATAAATCACTACCAAATAGGGAATGTTGATACAGGTCGGAACTGTGGGCGAACGCCCTTATGAAGAAGAAATGCTGCATCAACAAGTGACACAGAAAAGCCACCGAAAATTTTGTTAAGAGAGATCGGAAAAGGTACATGTGTACCTAGTAGATAAGTTTACAACTTCGACTTCAATTCCATGTTTTACAAGATGGCTCTCCTTTTCGGCTCAATCAGTCGTGCTTCAAACTCGACTACCGCTGATATAGGAATTACATGTAGTATTTCCAAGTGCACTTATTAAATTGTATTGAGCTAGCATTTGAGTATAGTTTAAGAGTGCAGAGTACCGTATGTACAATTTTCCTTCACCTTTTTTTTAGCAAGGGAAGGATCTATACGTTCGCAAAACTAGAACAAAGTATTTGTCGACCATTGAGAAGAAATATCAGTGTTTGGCATAAAAAAAGAGGATGGAAAACGGATGAAATGAATGTGTAGTATTCCTATCTGACAGTGAAATATTCAGCGAGGATTCACCAAAAGAGATCAAAGCGGAAGTAGAACTTATGGGATCTTGAAAAAGAAAGAAGAAAGAAATGAGTATATCAACGAGTTGT